TGAATTCCACAAAAAGGCCAAGGGCGCCGAGCACAAGACATGAGGTCCCAGAGGCAGACAAATGACAGACAAGGCCCTAGCCCCTCTGTGGGCCTCCGATTCCCTACCATCGTAGTGCGTGGGCTGAGAACATGGACTCGAGATCTAGAATGATCAGACAATCCCAGGTACACGTTGATGTGTTTTGGGGCCTCTGCCCCCCGTGAACCTCAACGCCCAGCGGCTCCTACCTGAGGACGCTGTTGCCTTCCTGCTTTTTCAATTTGATATCAGACTTCTGGACTGGAGCAGACAGTACCCTCTCCTTCAGCTTTCTGCCTGGGTTTGTCGTGGTGGTTCCTGTACACTCATTCAAAATTCAGAAAACCGAGTCTCATACAGGTGATAACACAGCTAATAAGTGACAGAGTCAGATACAGGCCAACAGGTGTCTGAAGTTTCCCAAACTGACCTCTTTCTACCAGGTGAAGGATGCCATTTTGGCTTCTTCCTCGACAAGGATGGAGGGGCACGTGGGACGATGGAAGGGCGGCCCAAAGCATCCCTGAGCACACTGTCTGTGGTTGGCCCTGAAGTCTGCATGAGGATACAGAGAGGAATTAGACATATTTTCTGCCCCGAGGATAGATGAACAGGGCCCAGAGAAGGAGGAGGTCATTCAGAGTCACTTGGAGAGCAGGCATTGCCCTGCACCCAGCCAGTGCCATGTGCGATCACCCCGAGGCGGGGTCGCACACCAATCACAACGTCCACGGGCAGCTGGGTCAGCAGGGACCCGATGGGGATGAGGGACTCTGAGCTGTCCAGGGCGCCCTGGCCTCGGAGGTAGAGGATGGCTGTTTCCAGCCGGGCTGGTGGGGACGGCTCAATGAAGGGGAAGGCTCGCGGTTCTCCCACGTTCATGCTCTTCATCTGGAATGAGAACCGAACCCCCCGGGGAAGGGACACATGAGCTGGCATGGAGCACTGGGAGGGTTCGGATCACAAACTCATGATACTTTAAGACACTCGATGTCAAGGCCCATGGTACAGAGGCAGGGGAGAAGCGCCATCGTCTGCCTGCATTTCTGCCTCTCTGCCCGGCACCTCTTCTCCCAGACCCTGGCCAT